CCCACTCCTGATTATACGTTTATCTTTTAAAAAGGATTCCATCTTCTATTGATTTTGGATGGCTACACAATCCTACAAAAATAAATATGCTAATTAAAAGTAAACCTTGCAGATTCCCAATAAATAGTTTGTGCAAAATCTAGATGTTCATTTACTATCAATAGGATGAACAGCCAGTTTGTAACAAAATAATTTGTTGGGCAGGAAAAAAATAATAATAATTTCAAGATGCTAAATTCTAAATTCACCCAAAAAAGAAATCTATTGTAATTTATATAATCTCTCTCTCCTTCTCACACACACACACACATACATTTACTTAGAGTTATAGTTTCATAATACCTTCTGAGATTACCCTTCTAAAAAGTTTTTCTTTTTCTTTTCTTTTCTTTTTTTTTTCTTTGGGTAGTACTGGGGATTGAACCCAGTGCCTCTTGTAAGTGAGCTACACCCCCAGTGCTCTAGAAAGCTTTTACCAAACATGCATTTCACTTACTGAACAATGAGAGGCTTGGTATCAAATAGGAAGGGTTTGCTCAATTTAGCAGAGATGGCATGGTGCTTGGCTCGAGACATCAATACAAGTCCTTTATCACCCGGAAGCTTTGTTTCCTTCATTTCATCTACCTCCCACTTTCCTAGAAGAAAACACACACAAAAAAAAGAGCTCTCCACTCCTTAACTATATCTTTTAAAAAAAAAAAAAAAAAAAATATATATATATATATATATATATATATATATATATATTTTAGTTTTTAGGTGGATACAATATCTTTATTTTTTATTTTTATGTGGTGTTGGGGATCGAACCCAGCGCCCCACGCATGCCAGGAAAGCGCACTACTGCTTGAGCCACATCTTCAGCCCAATTGATTGGAGATATATATATATATATATATTTTTTTTTTTTTTTAAATGTGTTGTTGAGGATCTAACCCCTGTGCATGCTAGGTGAGTGCTCTACCGCTGAGCCACAACCCCAGCCCTAAATATATCTTTTAAGGTCTTCTAAATGATAACAAACTAAACTCCAAGTTGTATAAGTCTATCATACTGACAAATTTTAACACATTCCACTTATCTATGAGAGTTGGGCCATTAATTTAGGCACATGAATATTTGACAAATAATAGGACATGACTTTTAAAAAGTCAGCAGCATATTCATTATATCACTGCCTAGGAAAGACCTTCCATTTCTAACATACAGAAGCATATGTAATAAATAGTTCTATCACTCCATCACATATAAAGCATCACACAAAGATGGCACAACTCTCAAGGAAAAACAACTTGTTGTTGTTTGTGGTGCTGGGGATGGAACCCAGGACTTGGCATGTGACAGGCAAGTGTTCTACCTCTGAGCTAAACCCCCAGCCCACCAAGGAAAAATCTGAAAACATATCTCCTTTTATTTTTATTTTATTTTTTTTCAAGGGCTGGAAAAAACCCAGGACCTTGTGCATGCTAGGCAAGGACTCTTCCACGAAGCTTTACCCTAACCTCAACCTCTCCTTCTAAATCGTTTTTTTTTTTTCATTGTCTTAATCACTATTAAGAAATTCCATGGAGATTATATTAAATCTGCTATTATATCTAGACCAAAAGGAATTCTCACCATCATATTTGGCAATTTCATCATCAGTGTCATCTTTCTTGGCTTTGGATAAAATCCACCTGTAATTAAGACAAACCCCAAAATTATGATCAAATGATAGCTATTTGTTAAGAGAAACGATATAGGATAGAGGGGAAAAGGGAAAGGAATGAAAGCAAGAACTACAAGCTTCAAAAGAATACTTTCCTAAATGGACTCAAAAACTGAAAATATAAAGGCTAGATATTTCCATTATATAAAATGTTATCCAAAAGGGAACCATTATTCCCTCTTATTTACATCATGTTCAACTCCCTAGGAGCTTCCTAGCGGAAAAAAAAAAAAAACAAAATGTACCTACCCTGACAGAGAGCCTCTGTCAAAGGAATCAGCAAAATAAACTTCTCCTGTTGGAACTGGAGCTTTGTAGGTGACCTGTGTTAAACAGAAGAATAGATAAAAACCTGAAAATTTTGGCAACTTTTTCTTGGTGGAATTTATTTCACTGTTTTGATTGTCACAAAACTGTCATAGGAAGAAGTCTTGAACTTCAATCCACATAGATCTTTGGAAAGAAATAACAAAGGTTGCCAGAGAGATTAATAAAAAGTTGGCAACCTTTGCTTTTCCTTTAAAAAAGATACAAATTTATCAATTTTTTTCCCTTTAAACAGTGCTGGCTAGGAATTAAACATAGGGCCCTTTTTGTTAGGTAAGTGCTCTACTACTGAGTTATACCCCAGCCACTATCTTCAAAATTTTATTATCAAGAGATAAAAGGCCAGGTACAGTGATACACGCCTGTAATCCCAGGAGCTCAGGAGGTTGAGACAGGAGGATTGCAAATTCTAGGCCAGCCTCAGCAACTCAATGAGACTCTGTCTCAAAATTAAAAAGGGCTGGGAATGTGGCTCTGTGATAAAGCACCTTTGGGTTCAATCCCCAGTACAAAGAGAGAGAGACAGAGAGAGAGAGAGAGAGAGAGATAAAAGGAATATAGATTCAAAAACTACTTCAAACCTTTGGAGATGGAGGCATACTGGTATCTGATTTTGAGTCTTCTACCTCTTCAATGACATCATCAAGGTCATCCTCAATATCAATCATATCATCTTCATGCCCATCATGAGCCTGAACAACAGTAGCTCCAAGGACCAGAAACATACATAATAACCACTTCCCTTCCATGATCTATATAGAGAGTAAAATAAATTCAATGTGTTAACTTCTCTTGTTTAAAATTAACACTTTCAAATCAAAGAACTAAAAAGAATTTTACTGTATTTTATCCTAAAAGCAAGGACAAAAGTAAACCCAGAGAGATTAAGGGGTTTTCCTAAAATTAGTTAAAAGATTCAATTTTAAGCTAGGCACAGTGATGGACACCAGTATCTCAGGAGGTTGAGTCAGGATGATCACAAGTTCAAAGCCAACCTTGGGCTGGGAAGAGTGCTTGCCTTGCATGCCTAAGGCCCTGAGTTCAGTCCCCAGCACCACAAAAAAAAAAAAAAAAGGCCGGACTCAGCAACTTAGTGAAACCCTGTCTCAAATAATAAAGAGCCAGGGATGTATATCAGTGGTAAATCGCCCCTCGGTTAAATCCCAGTACCCCCAAAATAAATTGACTAAAAGACTCAAGAACAAAAATATTATACCAAAAATGAGCTACTTTTAACTCTTATTTTCTAAGCACTTATATATTATATTAGACTTTATATCAGACTTATGGGTGGTTAGGTGGGCCTCCTCTCCAAAGAGCCTTGATCTAAAGAAATAATAACTGAGCCACATGGGTAGTTTTTTTTGTTTTGGGGCCTGAGAAGGCAGAGTGAAGATGAAGAAGCTGGGGAAGAAACAAATTTTTGTAAGTGCAACACCATGTGCTCTCAACATATGGCACAGAGTATCCTTTTTTCCTTGTTTCAAATTAACACTGGTCTTTCCCTTTCATTACCAGGACATTTACTGGTATCCTACATTACTAAGGGTTCAATGTTTCCTCTCTGAGGCCATTCGATACCCAGATGATAGCCTCATCACCCCCAAAATCTTGAGTCCCTGTTTGCAAAAATCTCTATGCCTAGCAATCAGAACCCTCTCCCTTAGGCCGTTCCCCCAAAATCCTCCTTTCATCCTAGAGAAGACGTTTCCCACTTCCCTTATGTTTACCAACATTCATTATTTGCTCCCTTAATGTGCATTTAAGTAAAGCTAAAATGCACCATGTATTATTTTCCTATTAATTTTTCCTCATGACAAAATCTGTGGATTTCTGTTCACCTTTCTCTCAGGCTCCTTGCAGTGCTCCAAAATCAGCACAAGAGTCCTGGTTTCAGATAAAAATCCTATGATAAAAACATTGTTGGGCGGAGGATTTAATTCAATTGTAAAGCCCTTGCCTAGCATGTTCAAAGCCACTGGTTCAATCACCAGTCCTGGGTGGAGGAACAGGACAACACTGTTACAAGAACACTGGATTTGAAAAATTCTTTAAATTTTTTTTTTTGGGGGGGGTGTTACTGGGGATTGAACTGAGGGATGTGAGCCACATCCCCAGCCCTATTTTGTATTTTATTTAGAGACAGGGTCTCACTGAGTTGCTTAGCACCTGGCTTTTGCTGAGGCTGGCTTTGAACTCATGATCCTCCTGTCTCAGCCTTCTAAGTTGCTGGGATTACAGGTGTGCACCACCATGCCTGGCCTAAAATGTTTTTTAATCCAGGAATATCATATAAAAATAATCCAACAAGTGTTGACAGTGATGTAGAGAAGTTGGAATCCTGATGCACCGTGAATGGGACTGTAAAATGGTACAACTGCTATGGGAAACAGATTCCATATGATCCAGCAACCCCATTCTGCAGTGTGTGGCCAAAATAATTGAAAGCAGGATCTCACAGAGGTATTTACATACCCACACCCATGTTCATAGCAGCACTATTCACAATAGCTAAGAAGTGAAAGCAACCAAATCTATGGATGTCAATCAATGGATGAATGTGGCATACAGATATAATGGAAGACTATTCGACCTTAAAACAAAATCCTGTCATATGTCAGCACATGGATACTTATTGAAGATATCACGCTAAGTAAAATAAAAGTTACAAAAGGACACATTAGAGTTCCCCAGCCCGAGAGAACGAGCGCGGCTGCGGCGGCACCGGGAGCCGCCGAGTGCCCCTCCCCGCCCCCCTGGACCCCCACCCACCCACCCGCCGGTGGCCCGCGCCCAGCTCGCAGCTCCGCGCCACCGCGGCCATTCTCACCTGGCGGCGCCGCCCGGCCACAGCCACAGCCCCTGCGCCCACGACGACAGCCGCAGCGACCGCGACGGGGGACGCTGCTGAGTCGAAGAGAACTCAGCCTGGCCACCGGACCTACTTACTCGCCTTGCTGATTGTCTATTTTTATAAGAGTTTACGACTTTTCTAAAACTTTTGTAAACAAAGGAACTTTTTTAAAAAAAGACGTCTTGAATATATATTTAATCCAAAGAAGAAGAATCTCGGGCAATTGGGTTGTTTCTTTTTTCTTTCTTTTTTTTTTTTCTTTTTGGTTTTTGGCTCCGTTTCTAAGGTGTTTTTTTTTTACCCCCCTCTTGACTTTGGGGTTCGGATACCCCAGCTGCTTCGGGCACCCGAGGACCTTCTGGGCCCCACATTAATGAGGCAGCCACCTGGCGAGTCTGACATGGCTGTCAGCGACGCGCTGCTCCCGTCCTTCTCCACGTTCGCGTCCGGCCCGGCGGGAAGGGAGAAGACACTGCGTCCAGCAGGTGCCCCGAATAACCGCTGGCGGGAGGAGCTCTCCCACATGAAGCGACTTCCCCCGGTGCTTCCCGGTCGCCCCTACGACCTGGCGGCGGCGACCGTGGCCCCAGACCTGGAGAGTGGCGGAGCCAGCGCTGCGTGCGGTGGTAGCAACCCGGCCCTTCTACCCCGAAGGGAGGCGGAGGAGTTCAACGATCTCCTGGACCTAGACTTTATTCTCTCCAACTCATTGTCCCACCAGGAGTCGGTGGCCGCCACCGTGTCCTCGTCGGCGTCAGTCTCATCCTCTTCATCCCCATCGAGTAGCGGCCCTGCCAGCGCGCCCTCCACCTGCAGCTTCAGTTATCCGATCCGGGCCGGGGGTGACCCGGGTGTGACGCCAGGCGGCACCAGCGGCGGCCTCCTCTATGGCCGGGAGTCAGCGCCGCCTCCCACGGCTCCCTTCAACCTGGCGGACATCAACGATGTGAGCCCTTCGGGCGGCTTTGTGGCGGAGCTCCTGCGACCCGAATTGGACCCAGTATACATTCCGCCGCAGCAACCGCAGCCGCCAGGTGGCGGGCTGATGGGCAAGTTTGTGCTGAAGGCATCGCTGAGCGCCCCTGGCAGCGAGTACAGCAGCCCGTCGGTCATCAGTGTTAGCAAAGGCAGCCCTGATGGCAGCCACCCGGTGGTGGTAGCGCCCTACAGCAGTGGGCCGCCTCGCATGTGCCCCAAGATCAAGCAGGAGGCGGTTTCCTCGTGCACAGTCGGTCGACCCCTAGAGGCCCACTTGGGCGCTGGACCCCCGCTCAGCAATGGGCACCGGCCTAGCGCGCATGACTTCTCCCTGGGGCGGCAGCTCCCCAGCAGGACTACCCTGACCCTGAGTCCCGAGGAACTGCTGAGCAACCGGGACTGTCACTCTGCCTTGACACTTCCCCCAGGATTCCATCCCCATCCGGGACCGAACTATCCACCCTTCCTGTCCGACCAGATGCAGCCACAGGTCCCACCGCTCCACTACCAAGAGCTCATGCCACCTGGTTCCTGCCTGCCAGAGGAACCCAAGCCAAAGAGGGGAAGAAAGTCTTGGCCCCGGAAAAGGACCGCCACTCACACTTGCGATTATGCCGGCTGCGGCAAAACCTATACAAAGAGTTCTCATCTCAAGGCACACCTGCGAACCCACACAGGTGAGAAACCTTACCACTGTGACTGGGATGGCTGCGGGTGGAAATTTGCCCGCTCTGATGAACTGACCAGGCACTACCGCAAACACACCGGGCACCGCCCGTTCCAGTGCCAGAAGTGCGACCGGGCCTTTTCCAGGTCGGACCACCTGGCCTTACACATGAAGAGGCACTTTTAAATCCCAAATAGTGGATATGACCCACACTGCCAGAAGAGAATTCAGTATTTTTTTTTTAACCTTTCACACCTGTCTTCCCACGGGGGGAGGAGCCCAGCTGACAAGCACTACAATCTTGGTCAAGTTCCCCAGGAGTCAGCTTGTGAAGGAACGGATGATCAGTAGAAAGGAGGAATGAAAAAGACAAATCAAAGAACTGACGGGGTCTGTGACTGGATCTTCTATCATTCCAATTCTCAATCCAACTTGAACATGCCTGGACTTACAGAATGCCAAGGGGTGACTGGAAGTTTGGATATCAGGGTATAAATTAGATCCGAGAGTTGTGGGTGGGGGGAGGGAAGACCAGAATTCCCTTGAATTGTGTTTCCATGCAATATTAAGCATAAAGATCACCTTGTATTCTCTTTGCCTTCTAAAAGCCATTATTATGATGTTAGAAGAAGAGGAAGAAATTCAGGTACAGAAAAATGTGTTTTTTAATAGCCTACGCGATGGTGCTTGGTGAGTCTTGGTTCTAAAGGTACCAAATGAGGAAGCCAAAGTTCTCAAACTGCTGCATACTTTGACAAGGAAAATCTATTTTTGTCTTCCGATCTACATGTATGACCTAAGTCAGGTAAATACGCCTGGTTTACTTCTTTTACATTTTTTATGCAGACAGTCTGTTATGCACTGTGGTTTCAGATGTGCAATAATTTGTACAATGGTTTATTCCCAAGTATGCCTTAAGCAGAACAAATGTGTTTTTTTCTATATAGTTCCTTGCCTTAATAAATACGTAATATAAATTTAAGCAAACTTCTATTTTGTATATTTGTAAACTACAAAGTAAAAAAAATGAACATTTTGTGGAGTTTGTATTTTGCATACTCAAGGTGAGAATTAAGTTTTAAATAAACCTATAATATTTTATCTGAAAAAAAAAACAAAAGGACACATTATGCATGATTCCAATTTACATGCGGTTTCTAAAGCAGTCAAAATTCAAAGGCACAGAAAGTAGAATTGTAGCCAACGGGCTAGGGGGAAAGAGCAATGAAGAGATTTTTATTTATCTGCTGGCTGGTACAGGGATTAAACTCAGAGGCATTTAACCACTGAGCCACATCCCCATCCCTTTTTATTTTTAAATTTATGATAGGGTCTCACTAAATTGCTTCTACCATGCTAAATTGCTAAGGCGGGCCTCAAACTTTCAATCCTCTTGTTTCAGCCTCCTTTTTTTTTTTTTTTTAATAAGAATAGTTTCAATTCTGCAAGATGATAAAGTTCTGAAGATGTTTCACAATAGCATAAATATGCTTAACACTACTGAACTATATATTTAAAATTGATTAAGAAAGGAAATTTGCACCTGTAATCCCAGCAGCTTTGGAGGCCGAGGCAAGGAGGACCCAGAGTTCAAAGCCAGCCTCAGCAAAAGCAAGGCACTAAGCAACTCAGTGAGACCCTGTCTCTAAATAAAAAATATAAAACAGGGCCAGGGATGTGGCTCAGTGGTCCAGTACCCATGAAATAAAAAGAAAGGAAATTTGGTGATATTTTACAATATTTGGTTACAATAATCATAACTTTGTAAAACAGGGCTGGGGGTATAGCGGCAGAATATGCTTTAGCATTCAGAAGGCCTTAGGCTCAATCCCCAGCATCCCTGTTCTCTAAAACGTAAAACAAAATTTGTTGAAGAGTAGTAGTACTTAATTAAAGCACAAAACCAATGGATTAAATAGGACTAGGTTTTGGTATCAGAACATTGTTTCTGCTGGAAAAGTAAACAGTCCAATGGGCTAGTAACTTACCTTTAAAAAGGTAGGATTTCTTTTTCTCAACATTTTTTAATTTGTTGATATACTGTTGTTACTATGACTGAGTTGTATAACCCACCACCACGAAATTCATATTATGATGCTTCAACTCCCTATGACTATATTTGGAAACAGGGCCTTTAAGGAGGTAATTAAGGTTAAATGAGGTCATAAGGGATCAATAGTGCTGGTGTCCATGTAAGAGGAAGTAGCAACAGGAGCACACACCACAGAAAAAAGGCCAAGAGAAAACAGAGGGAAAAGAGGGTCACCTGCAGGCTAAGGCAAGTTAGGAAGGACCTCACAAGAAAGTAATCCTGACAGAACCTTTGTCTCTAATAACCTCTAGCTTCCAGAGCCCTCAGAAAATAAATTTCTATTGTTACTGAGATAATTGTCTTTAGGTTTTTAGGTATAATGAAGTAGGGCAGTACATCTCAAACTTGAACATATATCAACATCATGGGAGGGGAGTTGTGTATTAAAATCTAGACTGCTGACACATGTGATGGTAAACACGTGTAATCCCGCTTCTTTGGAATCTTAAAAGACAGGAGAATCCCAAGTTCTAGGCCAGTCTGGATAACTGAGCAAAAACTCTGTCTCAAAAAATTAAAAAGAGCTGGGGATATAGCTCAGTGGTACAGTGCCCCTGGATTCAATCCCCAGTATAGAATAAGCAGACACCCCAAAGATTGCTGGGCTCATCCCTAAATTTGTTTCCACAGGGCAGGGCAGGGCAAGGCAGGGAAGGCAAAGTTAGGCCTGATTCAATGGGACTTTAGGTTAAGAGGATGCTGAGGATACTGGTCCAGAAACCACACTTTGAAAATCATGAATTAGGCTTATGAATAATCTATTTATACTACATTCCAATTTACAAATGGATTTTCACATACATTATTTTATGTAAACTTTCTATGAGGTATTCCTCTCATTTTCTTTTACACACTAGGAACTAATAAGACTTAGTGAAGGGCTGGGGATGTGGCTCAAGCGGTAGTGCGCTCGCCTGGCATGCGCGCGACCCGGGTTCGATCCTCAGCACCACATACAAACAAAGATGTTGTGTCCGCCGAAAACTAAAAAAAAATAAATATTTAAAAAAAAAAAAAAAGACTTAGTGAAAACCTACTCATTTTGACAATAAATAAACAAGATTCAAAGAAACCAACCCTCCTCCCCCGACTGAAACCCTAAACATGTTACCATGTAGTTTCACACTGAGGTAGTATGACAAGAGACAAAAGACAGGAAAGAGCAGCAAAGGGAATGATCCAGAACAGAGACATTTTGGCAGGGTTTAATAAGGGAATATGTGACTATAGAACAACTGGCCCAGGTTAGGAGACCATGAAAACTGGTGTTATTGGAGGGCAGGGGGGTGTTACTGAGTAGGGAAAGCAAAGCTATCTGTCTTGTTGGGAACGAGTAGATATTTCAAATAAACTACAGGGAATGCATTTATCTTTCACCACCATTTCCCCTGCTCCCTGAGTTGTAGAACCTGATTTTCTACAAAACAAGAAAGAGGTATTTGGGCACTCATCTGTTCCGTTCACATTATCCAAGGGTTTGTGAAAGCTCACAGTTCAAAATTATTGAACTGTGCCATGTCAGTTCTCACACTGGTACACTAAGGAGTCTCAGTCACTGCAAGCTTTACATATGCTATTTTAACTATAATCTACTAATACTCCCAACATAATGCTAGTTATTGGGTCTATTCTAGTTCTAAAAAGCCACTATTAAGCTGACTTAAATTTTCCAAATATTGGGCTGGGGATGTGGCTCAAGCGGTAGCGCGCTTGCCTGGCATGCATGCGTCCCGGGTTCGATCCTCAGCACCACATACAAACAAAGATGTTGTGTCCGCCAAAAACTAAAAAATAAATGTTAAAATTCTCTCTCTCTCTCAAAAAAAAAAAAATTTCCAAATATTGTTAGACATATGTTCACATTTGCCAACAATTCAAGATAATATACTTTAAGGTGATGTTAATTTTCTACTTCATTAATGAGAATCGGACATTAGCAAGAAACACCTTCCCTTCAGTCTCCCTATATACACTTCTCATACCAAATGTGATCCCAGAGGTTACACCTATATTGACCAATTGAGCAGATACACAAAAAGGATGTTGTAACTACTATGCTTTCTAGAGGAAAATAGGAGGAAATTTAGGCGATTATGGTTTTGACAATAAGTTTCTCATACAACATCAAAGATATGGCATATGAAAAAATGGTAAGTTGAACTGAAATAAAAAATTTCTCTCCTATGAAAACACAAGAATCAAAAGAGAATTAAAAATTGCCAACTAGAAAAAATTATTTGCAAAATATGCATCTAATGAAGGACTTGTTCTATTTTTCGTACTAGGTATTGAACTCAGGTATGTTTTACCACTGAGCTACATCCTTAGCCCTTTTAATTTTTTGAGACAGGAACTCATTAAGCCTAAGTTGCTATGGCTGGCCTCCAATTTACTACCTCCTGCCTCAGCCTCCCAAGTCTCTGGATGTACGCATGCACCTCTGCACCCAGTTTGAAGGACCTGTTTTAAAGCATATGAAGAACTCAAACTCAGCAATAATAACCAAATATAAAACTGCAAAAGCTGGAGAATTAGGTCAGCAATAGACATGCTTAGCACTTTCTTGACCCTGGGTTCCATCACTAGCACACAAAACACTGAGCAAAAGACCTGGACATCTACTCAAATACATACTGATAACAAATAAGCATAGGAAAAGACCATCAACATCATTTTTTTATTATGGAACTTCACAATAAAATAACAATGTTGAACGGGCCGGAATTTTAGCCTACGTGAGGCACTGGGTTCAACCCTCAGCACTACTTAAAAATAAATAAACAAAATAAAGACATTGTGTACATCTACAACTAAAAAAAAAAAAAAAAAATTAAATAACAATGTGTTACCACTATCAGCTATTAGAATGGCTATAAATTCCCCCCAAAATGGCAAGGATGTGAAGCAATAAGAACTTTCATTGATTGCCGGTGAAACTAAAAAATAGTAAAGCCAACTTGGAAAATTATTTGCAAGCAACCATAATGTTCAACAGATTAACCAATTGAAAGAAATGAGCACTCAAGCCACAAAAAGACATGGATGAATCTTAAATGATTATTGTTAACTATAAAAATCCTATCTGAAAGAGTGATAGACATGTTTTAAAACTCCAATTATATGACATTCTGGAAAAGATATTAACTATAGACAATAAAACTACCAGTTGTTAGCTGGTGCAGCAGTGGACGTCTGTGATCTTACCTACTCAGGAGATTGAGGCAGGATTTCAAGTTTAAGGCCAGCCTGGGCAACTTTGTGAGACCTGGTCTCAAAATAAAATTTTAAAAGAGCTAAGGATCTAAGTTGTTGCAAGGGGTTTAGGGGAGAGTTAGGTTGAATGGGTAAAGCACATGTTTTCTTTTAGGCAATGAAAGTATTCTTAAAGATATTACAATTACAGCTACACTGACACAGCATTTGTCAAAACCCATAAAACATTATAGTAGAAAGAATGAATTTTAATGTATTTAGGATGTCAGGTGATACGAAGACAGCATGCAAACAAAATTCAACAGAACAATCTACCTTATTACAAATCCATGAAACCTTACTAGGGAAAAGGTGCTCAGTAGAACTAGAGTACACAAAAAAAGTACTGTTCTGGGGCTGGGATTGTGGCTCAGTAGTAGTACGCTTGCCTAGCATGTGTGAGGCACTGGGTTCAATTCTAGCCACCACCTAAAAATAAATAAATAAAATAAAGGCATTGTGTTCATCTATAAGTAAAAATTTTAAAAAAAGTACTGTGCTAATCAATAAGCCCATTTTACATGAGTAGGTGCATTAATAATTCTGACACTGTTATATATGTAATTGAAAAATTAAGCGTATTCGCAGTAGATGGTGGAAGCCACTTTTTCACTGTTAAGACTTAGAATTTATCCAGGCACAGTGGCACATGCCTGTAACCCAATGGCCTTGGAGGCTGAGGCAGAGGAGGACTAAAAGGAGTTCGAAACCCACCTCAACAGGGGCTGGGTTTGTAGCTCAGTGGCAGAATGC